CATGCCCTCCTGGAAGGGAGTACATGCAGGTCAAGGATGATTTCTTCTGCACAGACTTGCCCTCCAAGCCTGGCCCTTCCTGCTATAGATACAGCTTTTTTTTTTTTTTTTTTCATTATTCTTCAATGTTTTCAATTCTTTCCACTTCAGAGCAGGGGGTTCTGTGCTTTAGGTTCCAGCTTGCTTAGGCAATGTTTTCATGCAATCAGCTCCTGTTGCTCCTAAGAATAAGACAGTAAGCAGCCTCAGGTATTTACCGGTGCCTTTCCAACCTTTGCCCAAAGTGTGGGTCCCCTTTAGTCTCACCCCTGCAGCCTCTGTCATCAGGTGGCCTGTAAGAAGCAGCCCGGGAGATGCAAACGTCTGCATTTTCTGACGGCCTCCCCAGGAAGGGAGCCACTCACTGCCCTATAAACCCATAGGGAAACGCCTCTCCAAAACCATTTCACCCCTCAGAAGCCATTGTCTCTGCCTTTGAAATGCAGAGATATTGTGATGAAGTAGGGGGGGGAAATCTTAGGTTTGATGCAAAAGGAATGATGTGACAGGGAGCTGGTTGTAAAATTCTGGGAGTGGGAGAGAGACCAGTGGGGTCTGTCCCTCAGGACCCACAGTGTTGAATACACCACCTAGTCGTTGAAAACAAGCTACCATTCAAATACATTTGAAGGCTCCTTAAGGGGTTGAAGGTGGTGGTTATAACCTAATAGAGAACTTTATGAAAACCAAAAAACAAAAACTGGCACTGGTTCTGACATGGGGGTCAACAGGTGTCCCACTTTCTATGGCTTGGATGGCTTTATTGAAGAAAAACAAACCAGTTCATATTTGGGCTGCTTACTGTCTTATTCTTAGGAGCAACAGGAGCTGATTGCATGAAAACATTGCCTAAGCAAGCTGAGGGCGTCCCGTTTCTCTCCCACAGTCCAAGGCTCTTGTTTTATTTGGACTTCTAATAGCTAAAAATAGTCACTGGCTTTGTACATTTCTAAGTTATCATTCTTGGCCAGCACAAGGGCCAGCCACAGATAAGGGGAAGGGCTGGACACACACAGCTTGCAGAGTTCCCCAGAGTTGTGGTTTTGAAGAGAATGTGTTTAGGGTGCAGTGTAAGGTGTGATAACGAACTTTCTGGTGTGTGGCCAAGCAGCTCCTAGCGGTACACGGAATGTGGCCATCCCGGTGTCACGTGTGACCAAGAAGAAAAGACTCTTAAGTCGGAGGCTTAGACCAACCTTGAAAGCAATACAATTTTTAATCAGCACTCTGGTGCTTTTCTCTATAAAGTAATACAAAACTTGTTTAATCCAGACTAAAAATTATCATCACACAGGGAAAAAAAAAGGAAGAAAAGGAAAAGTCACCTTATTTACCACAATGTGTTATCCCTCAATGATTCTGTGTTAGTGTAATTTCCTTACAAAACTATCAACATAGATAAAGTGAATTTTATCAAATTTATGCATATTTGCCTATGAAATTTTTCAGAAATCTAAATGGGCCACTTTAGATAGCCAGTACAATTTATAAGTGAGGGAGAGACCTTGCTTCCAGTTTTAAGCAACAGGTATTAAAATGGATAGAAACGAAGTTTTTGATCTCCCTCGCTGCTCTAGCGCTAAAATCTCACATGGTCAATGAGTCCCCTTCGCTTTCAGCTGCTTTCTGGGAAGCAGGGGGCGGGGCAGAGCAGACTGCCTCCCGCTAAACAATGGTCCTGTTTAATTTAACGCCTTCAGCAAAAACCCAACAATATTACATGAGACAATTACACACTAGTTTATCCTTTTCTTTTCGTTTTTCATGTTTCACTTTCGGGAGCAGGGAGGGGAGGGGAAAAGGCTAAAAACAAACTAATTTTTGGTCATTTTATTCCTTTCGCAAACAGTTTGAAGACTAACCAATTTGTACTTACAAATCTGGGGCATTAGCAGACGGAGACCCTAAATCCGCACGCACACAAGCAGTAACTGTTTGTATGCCAAGCTGTTTGTAAGCCTGATTTGACAGCAGAGGGCTATTCATTCTTTTGTCAACTGTCAGTCTAAAAACGTTAACCTGCCTGGGTCCCGGGGTATGGGAGCGCTAAGTCTTCGCTCCTTCAACTGTATAATGAACAGACTGTTTCATTAATGAGACAATTCACTCCACAAATCCAGCCCAAACAACTTATTTCACAATTTGTGAGCAGAATTAAATTTCGGGGGAGTCGCGAGAGAGGAGTGAGAGGGAAGGGGGGAGTAGGTGAGTTGCGCACAATGTACAGAGGGATCAATGCGGCGGGATAAGTGTCCCAGGCAATTTTGCCAGCCGTCCTGGGCTGAGGCTTGGGAGGCCACGGCATGCAGATCAGCGGATTAGGTGGAGGGGGGGGCACAGCGCCAGGTCAAGTGTCTCACGGGGAGCTGATAAACACCCCAAACCTGAGAACAGATTTTCCTTTCTTCCACGCCACTTGGTAAGTGTCGGAGCAAATCTTTTGAATGGCAGTCGAGTTTACTTAGAGGCCCTTTCTTCAGGAAGACACTCTATCCATTTTTCTGAAGCCCATTCCAGGCCTGCCTCGGGAATAAATTTGCCCGGCATCGAGGGCGAAGAAACACACACACACACACACACACACACACACACACACACACACACACACAGCCTTTCCCTCCATATCTTAACTATAAGCCTTTGTCTCAAGGTGTGTGAACCAGTCCAAAAATCCACATCTAGAGTCCCTGAGGTTTCAGCACCCCTGGATTTAGCTTTAATACAAATTAAATACTTTGAAGATTATGCAATCAAAAACCTTCCCCTCTTCCTGCCCTGTTACAGAACACTCTCATTTTAAACATGGCCAATGTATGGATTCAGTTAAATGGGGAAATTGTAAGCAGCAAATGGTCAAAGAAGAACTCAGTCTCCTAATATCCCATGTATCCATTGCCATTAATTCAAACCAAGTAGCTAGTGTGCTGAATTTCTTCTGATTTCGTGACCCAAACGGGAGAAGCCATACTTACTGTATTAAGTTGTATCTCTGTGTTAACTCAAAGTGCATGATAGAAAATCAACGTTGCAACATCAAACATGGCCTAACTAGGTCCTAGCAGGATGCTTATTTTCATTTTGAGTGTTCTGAACTGTTTAAGTAGTCTCAAATGTTCCAAGATACTTTGTTGCCAGCAGCCTGGCTTTAGGACCTGATCTGACTTTTTCTGTTGTTTATTTTTTTAAACGTCTTTTGGGTGTTTAATGTTTAATTTGGTAGGGCTTGCAAATCCAAAGTGAAGTTTTTGAAGATCCACTGCTAAAATGCTTGGACAGAAAAAGGCCTCCAGGAATTAGGATGTCATCTACCTCTAAATTAGAAGTCTTGGAGGTAAGTTAGAAGACATTTTCCTTTTAGTAAGTGTTGGGCAGTCTTCCAGTGTGTATTTTCAGTTTAGCAACGGAAAACGTGTCAGTGAGATACTGAACACTGCTTCAGGGCTGGAGGAAGACTGTGAAAGTCTTTAAGAATTAAATTCTTTTGGTTTCTCTTGCTATTCCCACCTGTTTTACAGAGAATATTTTCTCAGGCAAGACAGCAGTTAGTCCTGGATGATTCCGTCTGCCTCTGCGATGTTACTACATTTCCTTTTCTCCTCCTTCTAAATGTGTTTTCATTTTTAAATTAAAATTACAGTTCCATGTTTTTGATTTTTAAAGACACTTACTTTTGCACACGATGTTTGGGCAACCCTCTTATTTATACTTTCCGGTAGATTTTTACTTCCATTTTTGGTTTCTGAGGATTCCTGAACTTAAAAAAAAAATGTACATATGTGCATGATATATGTGGGACTTTCTCATTCCACATTTTTGGGGGTTTGGGATCTACCTCAGGTTGTCAATTCCTGTGTCTGCTGAGCACCTTTCAGGTCTTCATTTAGGGTGAGTGTGCTCTCCTGCGGGATTCCTGTTGAGGAGCTCTCTTTCATGCCTCTTTTCACCCCTCAGTCATTGTTTTCATTTTAGGTTGTGGGTTTCTTGCCTACAAATATATCTGTGTGCCACTTATGTGCTTGGCACTCATGGAAGCCGAAAGAGGGTGTCAGATTCACTAGACTTGGAATTGCAGATTCCCAGTTGCCATGTGGGTGGTGGGACTGGAACTCTGGACCTCTGGAAGAGCAGCCAGTGCTCTTAACCACTGAGCCACCTCTCCAGCCCCCCTTCTCACCCTTTTGTAAGAATAGAAATGTGCTGCATGTGAGTACTGAGTGCAACCATCAATTAAGATGCTTAGCAGACCTCCCATGGAACAACTTCTCCCCCACCTCCAAAGACTGGCATGTTTTTGAGAAAATTAGCCTGGTGTTTGCTGCTGCTGACAGGTCCCAGGCTAACCAAAAACATAACACAAAACAAAACACCTGGCCGGTCAGGCTGCTGCAGTGGTCCACTCTGATCCACAATGCCAAGAATTCCATGAATACTAATGAGGACACACCATCCCAGGCAAACTGGCAAGCAGAGAGCCTGCCTAATCATACAGAAATTCTGCATCGTCACAGTCCTCTTTATTTCCATGAAACTGCTTCAGTTCGCTCGGCATCAGAATCATTTAACTATCCTGCCTTCCCTGCAGCCCCCCAGCCTCTCCCCAAAACCCCTCCCCCTGCAGCCCCTAGCAGCTCCCCAGTGCCTCTGCAAGACCCTCCCCACAGCACCACAGCCCTGCAGGCCCCCACAGCCCCTCTCCATAGCCCCTCTCTACAGCCCCTCCCCATACCCTCTCTGCAGCCCCTCCCCAGACCCTCTCCCCCAGCCCCTGGCAGTCCCCCAGCCCCTCCCTCTCTGCAGCCCCTCCATGCACCTCTCCCCAAAGCTTCTCTTTCTGCAGCCCCTCCCCACAGCACTACCCACTGCAGCCTGGGCAGCCTCCCACAGGCCTGCCCTGCACAGTGCCTCCTCATACCCCCTCCCGGCAGCCCCTCCCAGGGGTCTGTGTTGCCTGTCATACTGACCTTTCCCAGTTCTCCTCTGGAGTTTCCATGCATGAAGACCACATTTCCTCCCATGGAATGTCAAGCAGCTTCTGACAAGATGAAAGACAAAGTAAGTCTCCTACCTGCTGCAGCCCACCCTCCCTTCAATCCTTCCCAAACAGTTCCACCACTCCACTATTAAATGCCTGAGACTACAGTGGGAAATCTTATCCAAACCACCACACCCAGTCAATAAAGCACTTCTCGTGCAAACTCAAGGACCTAGGGTGGGTCCCCAGCTCCCACATGAAAGAGCTGGGTGTGATGGCATACTTGTCATCTTAGCACTGGGGAGACAGAGACAGGCAAATCCTTGAGGCTTGCCCTCCAGCCAGCTAGCCTGATCTGCCAGCCTCAGTGAGAGTGAGAGATCCTGCCTCAAAAGAACAAGGTGGATGCTCCTGAGGAAAGACACCTGAGGTTGGCCTCTGGCTTCTACAGACACAAGCACCCCCACATGTAAACATGTACACACACACACACACACACACACACACACACACACACACACACACACATTAACAATTAGAGGGGATCCAAGAGACTCACAAAACAATGCAGGCTCTTGCCAGTGCACTTAGTTGCCCATCGGATTTGAGTCGTATTAGTTACTTTTCTGTTGCTGTGATAAAACACTATGACAAAGGCAACTCGTAACAGAAGAAATTTGTTGTTTTATCTCTGGCACAGCGGCTGCACCTGAACCTACTGCTGCCTTAGCTGCTGACTACACCTTGGCAGCTGCCACTTCACTGCTGAGGCAGGCCGGGCGGCGGGGGTGGGGTGGGGTGGGGGTGGGGTGGTGGGGTGGGTGGTGGGTGGGGGTGGGGGTGATTCTGGTTCTACCACAACCTCTGCTGCAGCCTCAGCCACCTCCACATAGGGAGGCAAATGTTGTTTGTGACCAAGTCTGTATCTTTTTATTTTACCAATAAAGGCTCTGGAGCCAGAGGCTGGAATGAAAACCTGCTAGCTCAGAGAGGCAGAGAAAGCAGCCGGGTGACCTTCCTCCTCCACTGTCATCTCAGTAAGAGAGCTTCTACTTCATCTGAAACAAAAAAACTCCTCCAACCGGATGTCCCTCCCTTCTACTTCCTGTGTCTCTCTCTCCAGCCTCCTGGCTTCCTCTCACTCTCTATGGTTACCTCCAGGCAATTGGTTGCTTGCTCTGCCTCTTGACCTATGGTTGATTTTATTTAAAGAATACAATCTCGTAGTTCACAGTGTGATCAAATATCCTGCAACAGAAATTTCATTGGGTTTATGGTTCTGGAGGGTTAGAGTGCTGGTAGGTTGTCCATGTTACAGTGGACAACAACCTAGTCTCATGTGTATGTGGGCAACACTATCGGGACTCAGTAGTCATATACATACATACATACATACATACATACATACATACATACATACATGTGTGTGTGTGTGTGTGTGTGTGTGTGTGTGTGTGTGTGTGTATGTGTGTGTGTGTATGTATGGAGGGTTGCATAAAGAAGATGGGAAGAGGGTGTGGAAGGAGTGAGGGGTGGATTTTACCAAAATAAAACATACTTACGTATGAAGAAAAAGGTTAATTAGAAGAAGGAGACATGCCATAAACAATTGCTTGCAGTTCTGACACCACCTCCCCACACCCCCTTGACAAGGCCGCTCAAGCAGCCTTGTAGCCAATGGTCCCGTTGCAGCTTTGGCATCCCTTTGTGGGCGGTACACGGTGCGTCTGCTTGAACCAGGGAAACAAAGAAACACGACCTTTCAAAATACTGGCTTAAAGAAAATACATGTCTTTTTTAAATAAAATAAATCTTTCTACTTAAATAGTATAAAATATATGACTATGGGCAAGAATCAAACATATTCTTTTAAAGAGTGGACATAAATATTTTAATATTATATAATAGTTGATGTGATTAGTGAAGTAGTTAATTTTTTTCTCCTAAATATTCTAAATCTGGATAATAAAGGTTTATTTTTTTTCCACTGGTTGAATATAAAGTATAAAATACATGTTATTATAATTTTTACAACTATTTATTTCTTTTGTGTGTGTATGTGTGTGTGTGTGTGAGAGAGAGAGAGAGAGAGAGAGACAGAGAGAGAGAGAGAGAGAGAGAAAACATATGGATGTTCATTCTCTCCTTTTGATTGGGTCTTGGTGATTGAACTCAGGGAGTAAGTCTGAGGTACCCATTAAGTCATCTCACAGGCTGTAGCTGTATTTTTAAAGAGAATGCAAACCATTAATCTACATCTAACATTTTGGCTTTATGCAATATTTAACAATAGGAAAGAAATTCTAAGTCTTTATGAGACAAAGGGAAAAAAATCACTAGCCCCACCCTAAACGTCTTACATTTTCTTCCAAATTCACTGTGTGATTCAGTCTCCTTTGATATATATATATGCTTAAAAAAAGAAGCAACTGTTTTTACTGTTGTCACAAATATGAAACTTGGCTTCAGAAAGGAGCAAGGCAAAGCCCCAAGGGAGCACTTTCCAAGATTTTATTGCGGAGGTACCACATGGGTCCCCAGCACCAGGAGCGAGGAGCACAGATGAGAACAAAACTTTATAAAGAGTTGTCCCATGCAGAATGAAGCCGTCGCAGTGGCTGTGTGTCCTATTAAAACATGCTGGAGATCATTTACAGCCATACCGTGAAGCCAGGCCGCTAAGTCTTCTGCGTGGTTCAGGGTCTCCTTCGGGTGGCTTCCCCTGTGCTCTGGGGACCCACTTTAACCCCGGGTTCTCCCTGCAGCTTTGATGTGAGTGCCTTGGTTCTTAGGAGGGTGTATTTTGACATTGTTCATTTCCAACAGCTGTGAGCTAAACGCTTGCAGGCAGGGAGTCCATCCCTCCGCAAGCCGTTCGGATGCCTGCCAAAAGCCCAGTGTCCTCTCGCCCGGCTGGAAAACCTTGTCAGGAGATGAGCCTGCTGAATCTGGGCAGTGTGCTGAGACGTTGTCTTCTCGTGGAGTTTGCTTTGTCTTTAAAAAACCCAGCGTATCCCACTCACTTCCATGTCTCTGTGAAGGCAATGGGACCCGCCTGTGTTGGCAGCTGCCACATGCCTCAAATTATGTCCAGCAGACATTGGCTCCATACCTTGGTTTTACTTAGGTGGTTTCTGAGAATTGATTTTTTTTTTTTTAAGCAACCTTAAGTGGAACGTAGAATCAGGAATTTAACTTACTCTGAATTCCTGGAGCATACACTCTATGAAGGTAGCAATCTCTGTTTTTCTTTCTGCCATCTTCTTGACAGTACTTGCCACCTCCTGGGAACTCAGTAAGCTTGTGTGGCATGAATGAATGAGTGAATGAATGGATGGGTGGATGGATAGATGGATGAACAAATGAAATGAAGAAACCCAAGAGAAAAAGAATGATCTACTTGGACTGAGGATGTAGAAGTGATGAAAACGCCTTTCTTGCCTCCTTATTGATTAAGTGATTGAAAGCTTTGTGGCTTTGCCCAGTGACCTAACTTATGTGACCCTCAGCTTCCTTTTTTATTCATAGGATCAACACTCAGTGACCTCTAAAGTCTTCCTTAGCCCTCATTTTCTTTATGGTGTGTGACACTCGTTTAACAAATGGCCCAGAACTGCACAGAAAAGACGATTCCAAGTGGAAACTTCCAGAACTAGTTGAGGAGTAGAGAAGAAGAAACGTATAATTTATGTATGATTGATAGTATTAGTTTAGAAGCCAGTCAAGTAGAGACGATACAAGGCATTTCCTGCTGTATCTGTACTTAGTGTATCTTACTGTGTGCTTTCTAATCTGGGGGAGCTTGAGTCCATAGCGTAGGCTGCAACACAAGAATTTTGTTAATGAATAGCATCTTAGTTCCTAATGCAGTACTCTACAGAATAAATTTCAGGACAATTCTCCTTGAATACAGTTGTGTGTCCTAAGTAGCTGCGCTTGTTCTAGATTTGAGAATCTAGAATATCTATATCTATATAATCTATATCTATATCTATCTATCTATTATATATATTTACAAATTTGGAAAGGAAGGATTGAAAAAGACACTTGATTATTTTATTTATATTATTTTGTCTCTGTGTGAATGTGTGTGTGTGGATGTGTGTGTGTGTGTGTGTGTGTGTATGTGTGGATGTGTGGATGAGTGTGTGTGTGGATGTGTGTGTGTGTGGATGTGTGTGTGTGTGTGTGTGTGTGGATGTGTGGATGAGTGTGTGTGGATGTGCTCTTGCTCACGTGGGGAACTGTCAGTGTATACCCTGGCACATATCTGGAGATCTGAGGACAATGTTCAGTGTTGGTTCTCCTCTTGAGACAGGGTCTCTACCTTGTGAGACCACGGCTCACTAACCGTGAACTTCTGGAGGCCTCCTGTTTCTGCCTCCCTCTAGAGGGCTGCACTGGGATCGCAGACCTTGCCATGCTTCGTCTGTCCTTTTCTGTGGGCTCTGGGGACCTGAACACAGCTCTTCCGGTCATCCTTACACAGCAAGTGCTTTTATCGAAGAGCCACCGCCCCAGAGCCAGACTGTTTATTGTGCAGACCAGGTGGGTGAGTTCTGCTGCTCTCCCAGCTTACCCTACACCTTACTGGTTCTCGCTGGAAGTAGTTCACTAATTGTACAGATTAGTGAAAAAAACTTCATGTTTTTTTCTCACCGGTTCTTTTGTTAATTCACTTAAAGAAAAACGTGTATGAATCTCTTGAACCCACAACACAACTCTACAGCCACTTAACCCCAAGAAGAAAATCATCCCCTTGTCCAGCTGGTTTTTCTAAAATCTGATTGTCCAGCTCTGCGATCTGCCGTGGTGGGTGTGGCTGCACCAGAATGCAGAGGGCTTATGGAGATCCATTTACATGTGTGGGAAGGTGAAGGGATGGGGGAGGGAAAGGCCTGTGGCTCTTCATCATACAACGGTAACAGTATCCAGCTGGCCCAGCACACATGCTTTCCTTTAGATTTGAAGGATAATTTAATTTTTAAAGACTGCTCTTATTGAATCATTCAGATTTTTTTATAAACATTAAAAAGAAGAAAGAAATATGAAGAAAGAAAGATGGGGAGAGGAGAGGGAGGGAGAGAGAGAGAACAAGAGCGAGCTAGCAAGGAAAGGAATCATTTGTCTAGTCAGTGGCTGCCCAAGTAGAGAAAGGTTTTTCTATCAGAAAACTTCCATGTGGCCCCACATTCCCTCCCTTTCCTCTCCTCGCCTCCTTGCTCTGTGTCCGGTTTTCCTTCTCTTCCCTCCCGACTCTCCTTCCCCCTCAGCTTCTTGTTTTCTTCCTTCCTGTGACTATTTCACTATGGCTACACGTGCCTGTCACTATAGATACGGTGGTGACAACCGCCACACACATGCAGAGCTGACCCTGTCATTGCAGATATGGCGGTGACAACAGCCACACACATGCAGAGCTGACCCTGTCATTGCAGATACAGCGGTGACAACAGCCCTGGTGGCACCCATGTAGAGCTACCCTGTCTTCAGGGAGGGCAGAGACCAAGCACATAATCCCACAAACAAATAAAGTGATACCCTCTGATAAATGTCACAGCGAAGCCGTGGGGGGATGAGATGGCTCTGCTGCCATCTTGCTGCCAAGCCTGATGACCTGAGTTCCATCCTGGGCACCCACGTGGTGGGTAGGAGCAAATTGTGTTGTGAGCGCCACACTCTGCCATGGGGGAAGAAGCGAGGAAGGTCTAGCAAGGGGAGGGGCGATTTAGACTTTTAGCCCAGACCCCTCTAAAGAAAGAGACTACTTGAAACTTAAAGTATAAATAATTAAGCATAAGAAATTAACTAATAAAATAAATTATCCAGGAGCAAGAGGTGGTGAGTTTGGGGTGTGTGTCTGTCATCTGTCTGTCTGAGGAAGTGGAAAATGTGCTCACTCTGAGCTAAAGAACAGCAGACGCAAAGGCCCTGAGCTGTAAAGGTGTGATGTGGTAGAGGAATGGACTGAAGGCGAGGCAGTGGGAGTATCCAGTTTCAGGGGTGGGAGTGGGGAGCAGGGGTGGCATGAGCACTGGGAAGAAGCAGAGCCCGTGGGCTGTGGGCATCTTTTGGATCATTCTCTGGACTACACTGATAGGCCCAGAGTAGTCAGGTATTAGCTGAAGCTTAAGTAGATTTGACTACTTCTCTGAAGACTTCTCTGACCACTCTGTGGAGACTGGGCTGTAGTTCTTCAGCTGGGGATACGACAGCGTGTCTAACCACAGCACAGCCATAGAGCATGATGGTAGGAGCCAACTGTTCAGGTTTGAAGGCCAGGGTTCTGTGTTATCAGCTGTGTGACTTTGGGCAAGCAACTCAGACTTTCTGTGCCCCTCTTTATTCACGTGTGAAATAGTATGGGGAGTGGTCAAAGTGCAGAGTGTGTCTGGGGGATGCTCAGTGACAAATAGAACACTTATATCACATCCTTTCTCCTCAAAGCCCAGAGACCGTGACAAGTACAGAAAGCCCATAGGAGCCTGAGGGCAGGGAGGACCAGAGTGGAGACGGTGTCTTCCAGACATGACTGGATGGCTGCACTCAGGAACTCACACCAGCTGTGCATGCTTTCACTCGATCTAGCCAGTCAACGTTCCAGCATGGAGGAAGGGGAGCTCGTGAGTCCGGACTCAGAGCTGAGGATCTTTCAACAGCTGGTGGCTCCTGGGGAGGGAGAGTGAATTGTCTTTAAGGGGGTGTCCCCTTGTGGGTAGACCCTGATCCAAGGTGTGGTCCCACACCCAGGAGTGTGTAGGCAGTACAAATGACACTCCTTGGGTAGGATGTTGGTAGGGGATGAATCTGGGAGGAGTTGGGGGTTGAGTGGGAGGTTTATGATCAAAATACATTGTATACATGAAATATATACATATATAAAATTTTCAAACAATAAAAACTGCTGTGGAATAATCGTCTTGTACACTGTAAAGATTTGCCACTTGAATTGGTTTAATAAAACACTGATTGGCCAGTGATAGCTGGGCAGGAAGTTAGGTGGGAAAGCCAAACCGAGACTGGGAAGAAGGAGGGTGGAGTCAGGAGTCGCCAGCCAGCCAGAGAGGAAGCAAGATGAGAATGCCTCACTGAGAAAAGGTACCAAGCCACGTGGCTAAACATAGATAAGAATTATGGGTTAATTTAAATGTAAGAGCTAGTCAGTAATTAGCCTGAGCCACTGGCCAAACAGTCCATAAACAATACTAAGCCTCAGAGTCAATCATTTAAGAAGTGGCCGCTGTGTATTTGGGAAGAGGTAGGCAAGAGAGAAACTTCCACCAATATGTGGCACCCAAACATTTGGCAACAATTCCCACATAAAACCCGAGAAAGCTTAAAAAAGGATTCTAAACACAAAAACGAAGTCAACACAGCTTCTTGGTGGGCTTTGTTTGCTAGCGATGAGCAGGGGGGCGGCTCCTTTAAGAGACAGTGTCCTGACTCAGCATTAGCAGCAAAACCCAGCAGCTCTTTTAAGAGGCCCTGCTACCAAATACTTTATGATGTTTACGAGCAACCAACACTGCACTACCCAGTGGCGGCGTGGACCTAAAACCTCCCCAGAGTTGGGGGTGATACACCTGGCTCCTGCCAGTACCTCTGCCATGAAGCTAGACTCTTAGGAAGCCAAGGAATGGGGTAGAGCCTGCTGCTTTAATCCTAGTCATGCCTGCTTAGCAGATTAAATGCTCATGTGGTCAGAAAAAGACAGAGATATGCAGTAAAGACAGATTCAGACCAAAACAACAACAAAAACAAACAAAGAAACAAGAAACTCTAAATGGTTCACAGTGTGTTTAAAAATATATGTAGGCTTGGGAGAGAAAAGAGAAGGTATAGACAGTCATAATAAATATATAGTTTTAAAATAAATAATAAAGTCAAGTCCTTAAAAAGGGAGTAAAGTAAACACTATGAAGGAAAAACTGTGTCACTATGAAGGCTCTTGTGAGGCTGGCCTGTAAGTGCCCGCTGCACAGAAAGTGTTCAGGAAGCACCAGCCATTATGGTTACCTGCCCCTGAACACTGGGCTTGTAAGACAAGTTTCTAAAAGGGAAAATGAAGTAAAAACTTTTGAATTAGATTGGTAAATATTTCCTAGGAAAATGTGTCCAAAAGGCTTCAATAAGGCAAACTAATAACAAAAAATGTCCTGTTAACTTTCCAGTTGAAAAATCCCTGTTCATAAGGAGGTGGTTAGCAGGAGGAGCATGGAGTCCTGCTGTTGTAGAATCTTACTTTAAGATGTGTTACATTTACTTATGGTGGAACATTTGTTTAATGAAGCAAAGATATGTTGCATTTGTTTAACTCTGTGAAGCTGTGTTACTTTGCCTGTCTAAAACACCTGATTGGTCTAATAAAGTGCTGAACAGCCAATAGCAAGGCAGGGGAAAGGATAGGCGGGGCTGGCAGGCAGAGAGGATAGATAGAAGGAGAAAAAGAAGGAGCAAGATCTGGGAGTGAGAGGAGGAGGACAGCAGGGGCCAGCCACCCGGCCACCCGGCCACCTGGCCACCCAGCTACCCGGCCAGTCATGGAGCAAGAGTGAAAGTAAGATATACAGAAGTAATAAAAGGAAAAAGTCCAGAGGCAAAAGGTAGCCAGGATCATGTAAGTTAAAAAAAAGCTGGCTAGCAGCCTGGGCTACAGAGTGAGTTCCAGGAAAGGCACAAAACTACACAGAGAAACATTGTCTCAAAAAATAAAAAAAGAGAGAAAAGAAAAAGAAAAGAGAAGCTGGCTAGAAATAAGCCAAGCTAAGGCCAGGCATTTATAAGTAATAATAAGACTCCATGTGATTAATTTGGGTGGTGGGCCCCCCAAAAAGCAAAAGAGTAAAAAAGCAAACAACAAAAAAAACAACTACACACTGCCTAGAGAGTCCTTGAGACACACGCTGGAGTCATACACGTGAATGCAAGTCAGTGAATCTCAGAGCATCTGTAAAGGATGCTGTGTCTTAAGATCATTTATCTGCAATCCCCACCCAATGCATTTAACCCACAAGACACTTTCTACGTGAAGAGATCAGAAGGTAGGGTGGTTGGTCTTTGGCTTTGCCACTCTTGTTTCTGTGTCTCTGTTCTCCAGAGTCACGTTAATCCTGTGGTTGCTGTCAGGATGGCAGTTTCCATTCTTGTGTGGCACACGATATTATTGTAGGCAGACGGACACCTACTCCCACCCACCACAGTGCATGCTCATCTGTGTGTGGGTACATGTGGAGGCCAGAGATCAACCTCTGGCTCTCCACTTCGTTTGGTTCTTGTTTTTTTTTTTTTTTTTTTGGTTTTTCGAGACAGGGTTTCTCTGTATAGCTTTGTACCTTCCCTGGGACTCACTTGATAGCCCAGGCTGGCCTCGAACTCACAGAGATCCGCCTGGCTCTGCCTCCCGAGTACTGGGATTAAAGGCGTGCACCAGCACCGCCCAGCTGGTTCTTGTTTTGAGACAGGCTCTCACTTTGTAGCCCTGGCTAGTCTGGAATTTGCTGTGTAGACCAGGCTGTCCTCAAACTCACAGGGTCCAATACCTGCCTCTGCTTCTTGAGCATTGGGATTAAAGATGAATATTACCACTTCCATATCCACTTTGTTTTGTGAGATTAGGTCTCTCCCTGATCTGGGACTCACCAATTTGGTTAGGCTGTCTAGCCAGGGAGCCCCAGGGATCCTCTAGTCTCTAGGATTACAAGAACATGTCCCCATGCCTGACTTTTTTTTTTTCTTGATAACTTGGATATTTGTTTTGTTTTGTTTTGTTTTTTGGTCACAGAACACTCTTTGCAGTAGAGGAAACCAGCATTGCAGTCTGGTGGTGTCTTGGCTTCTTCACATAACCAGGACGTGGCCATCCTTCAGCACAAAAGCCCTCATGGCACGTACCTCACTGAAATTCAGGACCGTGCCTGACTCTGTGTGGGTGCTGGGGAATGAACTCAGGTCCTCATGCTTGTAGGACAAGCACTTTACCCCCTGAGCCACCTCCTCTTTGTCCCCCACTCCCCTGTGTCTCTCTTCATGCACAAGAAAGTCTTCTTCAAAGCCCCTCAGAAAATGCCTTCCTGTCCCACTGGCTACAGAACTGACCTGTCGAGGACCCATCCATCAACTACGCTGGAACCATTTATTGGCAAGGAACACGGAACAAAGTGGAAGGACCAGGACTCTGGTGACCCACATCCCGGGGTCCCACCCTGCTCAGAAATACCTAGGTGAGCTGAGCAGGGCATCAATACGAGCGAAATCAAGATTGTGTCTGGCAGGGAAAAGGAGAGAAGCGGTGTTGGAGGGGAAGGCAGCCCCCAGCCTCCGCCCTAGCCCCGAAGAACATCCACCATCGCTCTCCAAAGCCCACATTCAGGAGGGATGTGGGAGAGTTCACTGGGAATGGTATGGACTTTTGAAACCTCAGAGCCCACCCCCAATGACACACCTCCTCCATCAAAGCCACACCTCCTAATTTTTCCCAAACATTCCTACCAACTGGGAACCAAGCATTCAAATACATGAGCCAATGGGGGCTATTCTCATTCAAACCACCACAGCCGGATACCCCTGGCACCTAGAACCTTGTGGTCCAATGTGGTACCCAGACCAGCAGCCCCATTACCAGAACTCTGGAAACAGACTGATAGCATCCTAGGCCCTGGGGTTGGAGGTTTAGTTTAGTAGTAGAGGGTTTGCCAAGCAAGTGCAAGGCCCTGGGTTTACTCCTCAGCTCCAGAAACAAAACAAAAAAGACATAAAACACCCTGATCCAAAGCAACTTAAGGGAGAGAGGGTATATTTGGCTGACACTTCAGGTCACAGTCCATCACTGAAGGAAGTCAGTTTAGAAACTCAATTCAAAACATGAGCAGGAATCATGGAGGAATACTGGTTGCTGGGTCCCTCTTAGGCTCATGCTTAGCTAGTCTTTTTACACAGCCTGCTCAGGGAATGATGCCTCCTACAGTGGCCTGGGCCCTCCTCCATCAATTAACCACCAAGATAATCCACCACAGAAAGGCCCACAGGCCAAACTGATCCTGGAAATCCCTCGGTCAAGACTCCCTTCACAGATGACTCTAGGCTGTGTCACAGTGACAGTTAAAGCTAACTATGATGACAGAGGCCATCTGAAGGGCACACTGCTCTACTGGGAGTTTACCGCCAGATATACCTTAGAGACCTCTTCATTCAAAAATCCCTTTGCTTCCTTCATGCTCTGTATAAATCATTGGTTAGAAGTTAGAATTTAGCACTGAAACTGCAGAAAGCATTTTTTTCTCTTTTCCCTGTTTACTGCATCTATCTCAAAAAGAGGCAGGAATTAAATCTGCAGGGATTAGAAAAAAATAGACCCATGATGAGGCAGCTGCTAATTAAGACCTGTCTTGAAGATTATTGGTTTAATACAGTGGAAAAAAACAAAATCCCCCAAAAGAACATATTTTAGTTTTGATGGAGGATAGACAGGAAAACAGAAGCGTGTGTAAAGAATCACTGAGTGACTGATAAATAGGCTTAAGTCATTTAAAGCGGCCCCCAGTGCAGCTTCCACAGTGTGTTCCAGATCATCTAAATTTCTAAATACCTGGAGTATATTTGTAAACATGGCAATCTCACATGTTATTGAAGGGCACATTCGTATTCAAATGAGCACACAGGAGGGCTTAACAGCTGATTGCAGTGTGAATGACAGTGACTTTGAACTGGTAGGTGGGGAAGTTGTGCAGAGAAGGGGTACTAACGCAATCAGCACACGGAGATACACGACTTACAGCAGCAATACGGGAATTTGCTGCCCAGGATTCTTGACATGAGAGGAAGATTCCACGTTAAGGAAATGTGGGTAAAATGAACAGTCAGAGGGTAATGAAGGGCAAGAAGGAAGGATCGGAGCAGATTTGAGGGGCAGTATAAACCTGTCACAACCTTCACCTCTTTTCTAAGTCATCCGTGGGACACCCTGCACCTCTGTAGGAAGCAATTGTTCCAGATGTGGCTCTGTTCAGGCGTTAGTCTCCCCCGAATGGTGCCTGCATTACCCATTTCATCCTTGCCAGGAGCCTGCGGGCAGCTGGTCCGTGGGAAGGAACAATGAGAGCAGGAGGAGACGGGGCAAAGGCGTGGCTGCAGGTGCCCTGTGCCCAAGATCCCAACATTAACCTTGATCGTCTCTCTCCCTGGTGGCTTGGACTTCGAAGCAGGAGTCTTGCTTTTCCAACCACTGCCATTGTGGACAAGGTGGCATTACCAGTGGGATTTGTCTCCTCTTCCTAGGCATCTAGCAGGCAGTCACAATGAGGGGGGGAAACTGAGGCCAAAGTAAAGAAGACCAGGAAAGAAAGCTCTTTTGTTTTGGGAGGGGTCATGAGCAGTAGGGCAGGGTTGTGACCTCAGCTTGAGTCCGGGGAAGGTGTCAGGGGATGACTTTCCTCCATCCTCTGGTCACCAGTCTGTGTGGGGGTCAGTCAGCAAGGACCAGCCGACCTAAGGTATCTGTAGAACACTGGGAAAAAACTAGACTCCCGTTTTTATCCCCAGTCCTTCTCCATCACTCTCTACCAGCATCTTCACCTTGAGTTGCCTATCAACCTATTGATCTGTAGTCTAGCCTTATCAGTCACTACCACCTTTTTATTATCTACATCTACCGATTAAGCTATTGTTTGATTTGTATCTTCTTCTTGCTATATGTGATGCTCAGTATGAATTGTCAATGTGACAGAATCTAGACTCATCAGGCGAACAGGCCTCTGGACAACCTGTGGGAAATTATCCAGATTAGGATCAGCTTCTGAGAAGAGGGGACTGTCTTGATTATGTAAATTGATCTGGTAAGACCCATTTTTAACTCAGGACCATTTCCTGGGCAGGGAACCTGGGCTATATAACATAAAGAAAGCAAGCTGAGTGTGAATGTGTTCACTGTTGTCTGTTTTTAGCCGTGGGTGTGACCACTGCCTTAAGTCCCTTCACTGTGACTTCCCACTGTGATGGACAGTACCCGTGAGCTAAAATAAGCCCTTTCTCCCTTAAGTTGCTTTTGTCAGGGTATCTAAGCCTGGGAGCAGAAAAAAGAAACCAAGGCAATTGTATATACTGCATTTGTCTGGTCTGTCTTCCTATCTTTATTGTCTGGTCTATCTAGATATCTTCTATACTGTTCTTATCTGTCTATCATTTATATCTACCATCTCTCTTTTTATGTCACCTGCATCTGTCATTTATGCCATGAACTAATCGGTACCATCTATGGGATGCAGAAACACAGATATGATTATGTTCCACTCCTCATTTCTCTAATTAAACCACTGATTCCTCCACATTCACCACAAAAAGTCAGAACTTTTAACTAAGACATTGAGAGTATTTCACAACCACTCCCCAGTTGGGCCTTTGACTTTCTTTTGCCCCTTCCCTCCTCCTCCCCTCCCTTCCCTAGAAGGAACAGAGCTGGACTTGGCATTGGATGTCCCACAATTTGAACCACGACTTCCCAAGTGAGCCCATTCATCAACTCTTTCAGGGCCAGCCATTCCCATCCAGCCTGTCGACTGCCGGTCTGAGAGGGCCTTGAGACCCTTGGACTTCTTGTCTCCCCAGCCCCATCTCTTGCTGTCCCGTCTCAGCCCTGTCTTACCACCACCCCGCCACCCTGTCTCTGCAGTGTCCTCTCTGGAGAGCTTGTCTCAACCAGCCCACATCCTGTGGCCTTTGCTTTAGAGATCCCACTTTGTCAATAGCCACAGTCTGTCTTCCACCAGTTCCCTTCCACCTGACAGTTCCCTCTCGCTGTATCATGGTGCCTTGGAGGATATCTGACTGGACGACCTTTGTGTGAGAGGTAGGGGGAATGTGCCTAACCACATCATCTACTCAAGTCAATGCCAAGGCCCCGGCACTACAGCCACTGCCTTCCGGTTCTACACCTGCATCTTTTCATCTGCACACAGCTGGCCAGTTTCTGCACCACACAGGGCTGCTGTGATTGGTGACTGGGTGGCTGCAGAGGAAATATTTGGAAGAGTGTTTGCTGTATCATAGTGCTCATCAAACTGGATGTCATGAGTGGCCAGAAAGTCCCTCTGTGCTGAGTATTTGGCAAAACTGTGCCTGGACACTGTGATTTTGATAGTGTTACTCTGATTCCTTTGGAGCCCACCCAGTCACCAATCACAGCAGCCCTGTGTGGTGCAGAAACTGGCCAGCTGTGTGCAGATGAAAAGATGCAGGTGTAGAACCGGAAGGCAGTGGCTGTAGTGCCTGGGCCTTGGCAT